AATGTCTAATAGGTAGTTATATATTACAGTCTAGAGCAGTGATGGCGAACCTTTTGAGCTCGGTGTGTCAGCATTTTGAAAAACCCTAACTTAACTCTGGTGCCGTGTCACATATAGAAATTTTTTGATATCTGCAATCATAGTAAAACAAAGACTTATATTTTTGATATTTATTTTATATATTTAAATGCCATTTAACAAAGAAAAATCAACCCCCAAAAATGAGTTCACGTGTCACTTGTCACACGCGTGTCATAGATTCGCCATCACTGGTCTAGAGATAGGTCAGCCCTATCTAAAGATAGAAATCTCAGAGACATCAGCACATTGGTCAGAGTTAAAACCATGAGAGTGGATGCTTTTGCTGAGAGAGAGAGAGACAGAGAGAGACAGAGAGAGAGAGAGATAGATAGAGAGAGAGAGAGAGAGATTAAAATGAAAGGGGAACCCAGGAGCCAAATGTTAGGAAGGAATCCCTACTAATTTAATGAAGCATCCCGACTCTGTCCTGCATGCCTTTTTGACCTTGAAGAAATCACTGGCTGTCTGAACCTCAGTTTCCTTGCTGATAAAAGTGTAGGTGATTTCTAAAGCCCCTTACAGACCTCATTTTCTGCACTTGTTTCTAATCATTAGCACTTGTTTTCATGATTGCTTTGGGGAAGATCAGGCACTTATTACTTGCTTCATTGTGTAACCTCGATGCATGTGGAAGTCCATGAAATTATATATATCCTAGATCTGTCTTTCTGATACGCATAATCATTATCCTGGACATGTCAACCCCATCAGTGTTATTCAAAGATAACCTGGAGCACCATGAACATGGTAGGTTTGAGGAACCCAAGTGTATTTCCTGAGAGGCAGTAGAGGGAAGTGATTAAGAGCTCAGCCTCTGGAGCCAAACCTATGGGCTTTAATTCATCTACCACTTACCTGGTTATGTCACCTCAGGCAACTTAGTTCATGTCTCTGTTCCTCCTTTTCCTCATCTATAAAATAGGGATAATAATCCTAGAGATGGTATAGAAATTAAATAGGTTGTTATGCACACAGTACTCAGAAGAATACCTGGCACATCTGCCCTTAGTAAATGTAAGCTACTATTGTATGATGGTGACCATGGCAACATTGTCTGGTGAAAAGTGTCTTAATTGTAAGGACTGAAGAAGCCTAATATCTTAGACTTTTTTGTTTTCAAAAGGAAAGTCAAGAGGAAAACCTATAGCACTCCCTAACAAGAGGTAACTTTCAGATGGCTGAGCTCCGGGGGTGGCAAACATATATTTCTGGTAACAAATTAACCTGCAGGTGAAAAAGGCAGAAGGAGACTGCGTTACAGGGTCATTCCACTGACAGATTCATTAGTATAAAATAGGAGGCATCAGAGTGTCCCCGCCATTAATACTCTTTCTTTTCATTGCTTTTCCTTGTCATCTTAATGTAAAGATGGACAAAAGGAGAACAAATTATACTAGTACACTGCCCTTTCTCAGTAATAAACCTCACACTCTCCAAGTGTCTTAGAGGTTAGGTGGCTCTTGGATATGCAGTTGTCAGTCTCTAAAGCCAAATATATAGAGAGCACATGCTTTATATTTCCTTAACACATATAGCTTGGGAATCTTGCAGATTGGGGCAGCAGGTTCAAATTTCTTTGGAACCTTGGACCTGCTCCTCAAAACATACCTACCAGGTATCAGCTGCGTGGAGAGAAAGACACGTCTTGAGGAACGGCAGTTGTTGAAGCATCTGGAATCTTTTCCTACTTTCGTCATTACTCGTCTTGTTTTTCTGAGAGAGGCTGGATTCAACTTGTCAGGCACAGCCAAATGGGTGCCCCTGTGCAGCTTGTTATATGCCAGGAAGGACAATAGCAGTCATTCAAAACAGGGTTTCAAATGAATACATAAGAATAAACCCCCGGGATTAGTCCCAATTGAAAAGTTCCGTGCGGCCAGGGAGGGTGGCTGCTGCTGCTGGGGATTAACAAACAGCTGAAGGGAATGGTATTCACTGATCTAGACACATTTTTAGTGACTGGTGGCCTCCATCTACCCCCATGGGGTCTATCACTTAGACAGACTTACAGAGTAAAATTTTTAAATAGTATGTTTTTTCTAATTTTTCCTTTTTGGAAACTGTCTACCTGATTGCATATGAACGTTTCGGTTCATACATTTCAGACCACAGAAATGCATGCCTCTAAAAATCACTATGGTCTCAGGGAAGAAGCTGAAGAGCAAATTTTCTTCCAGAGAATCAAACTAGAAGCAACAGAACAAAGGAAGCCCTCTGGTGAGAGTGGTGGGAAAGTTGGCGGGGTCATATTATGTTCAGAGCACTGAGTGTTTAATTTTAAATTTATTTTTATTTATTTCAGAGAGGAAGAGAGAGATAGAGATATCAATAATGAGAGAGAATCATTGATTGGCTGCCTCCTACATGCTCCCCCCGACCTCAGGAATCGAGCCCGAAATCCAGGCCTATGCCCTGACCAGGTATCAAATGGAATGGAACCATGGCCTCCTGGTTCCTTGTTCGATGCTCAATCACTGAGCCTCAGAGACAACCCCGTTTGTACAGGGCCTTTACTGTTTGCTGAGCCTATTATGGACATTGTATCATTTGATCCCTACAAAGAGGTTGTATCCCCACTTCACAAATGAGAAAAGTGAAGCCCAGAGGCTGGCAGACTTGTCCCAGGTCACAGGGCTGGAAGTATGATAGTCTGACTCCAGGTTTCATACGTTTTTGCTATAGTTCTTGTGCACTCACATGTTGAGCCCTTCAGTCTATAATCCAACTAGATGTGCAGCTTTTGCATGGTCTTAAATTAACTTTATACATTACCCATGGAGCATCGGTCCCTTTTTCCTTCTTGCCAGATGCATTAATCTTTCAAGTGAAAGATAGCAGAGAGAAGCATGTAAGGATACCAATTATAACCTTTGTTTTTGGCCTAGGAGAAGTTCAATGCCAAAGAGAAGGCACCAAAAATGGACACTGCCTAACATGTATAAAATCAGTGAGGAACAAATGATATAAACTACACTTTCTATTCTATTTAAAAAGACAACAACAACAAGGCAGTAGAGGGGGAGAGGGCTAGAGGCTATTTTTAATATATTCTCCTTTGAAAAAATTGAACAAAGTAACTACGATTCACATTTGTTTACTTGCACTTTGCTGAGGGCCTACCCTGGGAGCTTCTTCCAACAGGTCTTTGAGGCCCCTCTCTCCCTCTATCCTTCCTCCATATGATGGGTGGCTCCATGGCAGTGGTTTGATGACTTTTAGTGGTTATAAAAGTTGAAAGGTAAGAGGGGTCAGAAGCCCTTTTGTAAATGTCTGCTTTGATTTTCTATCCCTTGCTATTGGTTTCAGGATTAGACTAAGCAACTACGGAGAACATCTGCATTTAGTGGGCTCGCTATGATCGAGGAGTGAATAGTTGGTAACCGTTTCAGAGATCATCCACTGTTTTTCTTCCATTGTGATCACAAAGTAATTTCTTTGTGGCCAAAATCATATCCTTAAACACAAACTCATTCTCCCCATATGTAAAAAATAACAGCTCCCACTGAGTTGCTTGGTGTTCATTTAACTCTGTTCCATGTAATGAATTATGCTAGGAAAATACTGCAGAATCATTTTTTAATGAACACAAAGATAGCTGTTGAGAAAGTCGAAGGCTATAAAAGTGAAAACTAAGCTGGCCTGACAAGAATGCTTTGTTCAAAGTCCACCAGCATTGACCTTTTCTTATCTTTTCTTTTCTTTTCTTTTCTTTCTTTTTCTTTCTTCCTCCTTCCTTCCTTCCTTCCTTCCTTCCTTCCTTCCTTCCTTTCTTCCTTCCTTCCTCCCTTCCTGCCTTCCTTCCTTCCTTCCTTTCTAGAAATAACTTAGCTGAGGGCTCTGTTGGAACAGGACCCAGGAGGGCTGATGGTTCTGCTGGTGACCTGCAACTGGCTTCAGACAAGTGTCCAGGGCTTATGTGAGGCTGCAGGAGACTATTGGTGTTTAGGGGCCCAGTGAAATGTAGCTACAGGTGTGTGTGTGGGTGTGTGTACACGTACCCGCGTGTTTCTGTCTCCATTCTTTCTACTGTCCAGGCCAGGTAGCCGTTCTTTCCCTCGTACTGTTATGTGTCAGAGAGATGTAGAAGCTTAGCATTCCATTTAAAGTTAGGCTCATGGTTAATGCTTGAACAAAATGCATTTCTTCCAATGAAAGACATTCTTATTCTTTTCTGTCCTCCATTTACATTCCAAGTTCCCACTCTCTTTCTATCAATAGCATTTTGAGGTCTAACTTCATATACAATCAAGCCTATAAATTTCAAGTATTCAGTTGAATAAATTTTTGCATATGCATTCACCCGGGGAGCCAGATCCGGAATATGGATCATTCCCTGTGCTCCTTCCAGTCGGTAGTCCCAAGGGTAACCTCTTCTATTTTAACCTCGACCTCCATAGATTGATGTCAGCTGTTCTTGTATATCATTAAAGCAGAGTCGTAGAGTTGTACTCTTTTCTGTTTGATTTCCTCCATTCAACATTGTGCTGTAACTCACACGTGTTGCTGAGTGAAGAATTCCGCTGTATAATGTCTTCTTCATCCATGGGAGTGCTTATGGACCTTTGGACTGTTTTCAGTTTGGGGCTATTCCAAAAGATAATGCACGGGCCCTCCCACAGCCCCGCGTCACCAAGGCCTCTCCGAGCTCTCATTTTATAAATATACGCCCCGGAGGACTGTAACTTTATCAACATGTAAAAGCGCGCTGGTGCTCGGTCGCTATTTGCATAGGAACCACCCACTTCTCGCCCCGCTCCCTGGGGCTGCGGCGCAGCTCTGACGCGTTCAGCCGGCGCCGCGAGAAAGCGCGCAGGACGCCTGCGCGAAGAGGGGCGCATGCGCAGACGACCGAGCCCGCTGACAGATT